GGACTTTTAGTATTTTAGCAGGGGGAAATTGGAGGCTCTTAATTGAATAGTTTTCTTACTTAAAAAAAAAAATTAAACTAAAACAAACCCAAAGCGATAGCCTTGTGAAAGTTCCAGGGAGCCGTATGGAAACTGAGACCCTGTCTGTGCATGAATGGCATGGAGGCCTCCAGTTGGCACGTTAGCTAGAACGTTGGCCTTGGGGTGCTGTGCTTTAGTTAAGCGCGCGTAGGAAAACAGTGCGATCCACACCTCTCGTTTGAAGGCAACACTGAATATGAAGATGTTGTGGGCCTGCTGGAGGGGCCTGAAGGGGCTTCTCCCAGTGTCAGCTTTTCTGGGTGTGCAGAGTGCTGTAGAATGCACCATTCTGTCACAACTGTCACCTGTGGCTTCCACTGGGAGGGCACTGGGAGTGTGTCCGGGCATTTTGGGTTGTCCAAGTTCTGGGAGGCCTTGGTGGCGTTGATTGTGTAGTAGGACAGTGCTGAGCTGCCCCTGGGAACGAGAGGGACAAGCTCTCACATCAGGAAAAGCTGTCAGCCCTAACTTCGGTGGCCTCTCTTAAGAACCACTGCTTTGCAAAGTCTTGCTTCGTTCTTGTAACACCCTCAGTGTTTAACATTGTTCAATTAAGGCTTTAATTTAAAATAATACCACTTGAGTAGTCTGCGTCAGGCTTGAACGAAGAGTTTGGATGTCACACCTGACAACATTGTGAAGAGAGACAAGGAAGGTCTGGTTTTCATTAGCAACTGGGAGGAAGGAGCCAGGCATGCAGGTAAACAGCGAATCCTTCAAAACAGTGGTTCTCAACCTGTGGGTTGCGACCCCTTTCCCTTTCACAGGGGTCACCTAAGACCATCAGAAAACACATAAATATTTCACAATATATAATTACATATTGTTTTGTGATTAATCACTATGCTTTAATTATGTTCAATTTAAACAATGGCAATTACATCCTGCATATCAGATATTTACATACGATTCATAACAGTAGCAAAATTACAGTTATGAAGTAGCAGCAAAATAATTTTATGGTTGGGGGTGGTGGTCACCACCACCTGAGGAACGGTATGAAAGGGTTGCGGCATGAGGAAGGTTAAGAACCACTATTTTTAAAAAAGCAGCAAGAAAATCCTTTTCTTCTCTGGAAAGAAATGAGTGCATTCCTAATAAGATACAAAGAGGACAGACTGTACAAAGAGAGAGGCATTTATGAATTATGTAACAAGTCAAATGATATTGTGCTGTCCCTCCCTCCCTCCGTCCCCCACAGGAAGAAAAAGTTGAGCGTGAGAAAACAGCACACCGTATTGTTAGGTGCTTTCCTGCAGTTGTGAGCTGTGTCAGATGCCAGTGTATTGTAGTTGTTTGCATTGTGCCTGTGAGCTAGCAGTGACGACAGAGAAGGTAAAGGCAAGGGGTTAAGTGTTAAATAAATTGAGGAAAGCAGGTGGAAGAAGACAGCATCCTGGAAAATGGCAGCTCCACCACCCTCCTGTGTCCTTGCGACAAAACACTTGGCATCACCCTGGCTTCCTCCCATTCTTTCCTCCCTAACCTGTAATCCAGCAGCAAATCTCGGTTTAAAAATGTGTCTTGGACCCAGTTCTCATATTTACACTACCCGCTAGGCCAAGCCACTGGGCGATTAGCCTCCTAAGGGAACTTCCTGTCTCCATCCTACTCCCCTATAGTGTTGTTTCAAATCTAATCACATTAGACCACTACTGCTTTGAGTCTCACCTGTGGTTTCCCAGCTCTCGGTTTAGTGAACAATGCAATAGTGCAAAGTCCATATTTCCTTAGCTTTCCACCCCACCTCTTTCTAATGTCATCTCTACCACTTTCCCTTTCACTCCCCAGGCACCAGCCACACAGGCATCCTTGCCTCCTCAAACCCCCAGATATATTGCCACAACGGGGGTCTCACACCGCCGGGTCTCTGCTTCCTTTCAGTGCACCTCCCTCACTCCTGCTAGGTTCTCAGCTGTCTTTTGTCCGGCTTTTATACGGTTGTCCCCTTCAGTATAAGCCAGGAGCCACACCGTTGGACTCAAGGCATAGAGATAGTAATAGAAGTAGTGTCTTTCTCTCTGGTTTTGTATTTCTTGGAAGCACTTTTTCTGTTTGTTTGTTGTGGGTCTCGTCGCCTAGATGCAGAGATCTCTGTTCTGTTCATTGCTCAAGAACAGTGCTTGTCGTATAGCACATGCACAACAAGGCAGGGAGACCCGGGCCAAGTTACTTAGCCCTCTGCAATCTCTGTCAGAGGATGCTGTGGCATTGAGAAAGAACCCCTTGCAGAGCTATTGTGAATTATGTATCTGTATGTCATGTTCTTGAGAAGCCCTGGTAGTGTAGGGGGTTACACGTTGGATGCTAACCACAAAGTCAGCAGTTTGAAACCACCAGCCACGCTGCAGAGACACACGAGGCTTTCTGCTCCCGTAAGAAGTCCCTGGTGGCGTAGTGGTTACACCTTGGGCTGCTAACCTCTAGGTTTGTCATTGGAACCCACCAGTCGCTCCTTGTGGGGGAAGATGAGGCTTTCTACTCCCGTGAAGAGCTGCAGTTCTGGAAATCCACGGGGCGGTTCTCCCGTCATCTCGCGGTGCCAGGAGTCAGCCCTGCCTCCAGGCAGTGAGTGATGGAGAAAGCGTTTCAGTCCCAGAAACCTCTGCAGGCAATTTTACCCTCCCGATAGGGTCAGCGTAGTGGAAACGTGTTGGTTTTGATCGGAAAGGCCAGCAGTTTGAAGATGGGACTGTCTATTTCCATAAATAGTACCAGTCTCGGAAGCACACGAAGCAGTTCTACCTGTTCTGTAGGGTTGCTCCGCGTTCGAATTGACTGGATCGTAGTTTGCTTGTTTGTTTGTTTTTAATGCTGTGATCTTCGCCACGCTCCTTTCTTGAAAGAAGCTTCATGCTGCTGCTGCTGCTGGTACTGGCGATTAGCGTGAGATGGAAAAGACAAACCAAGGGAAATGGCAGCAGATCCCAGGGAGCTTAGTAAAAGGGCAAGTGCCCCCCCCCCCTTCTGTCTACTCCTCTACTCCTGGAGGCACGGAGTGTGGGGCTGTGGGGCCACTAGGTGTTTATATGCAGCCATGCAACCCCCAGGTGCCAGCCACCTCACTGGTGTTTTACAGTCAGGTGCACATTTTTAGCTTCATAATGATCTCAAGCTGTGAAGGAAAGGACCATTTATATTCAAAATACAATGTATATGAAGGGGACGCCCCCCGCAAACAACAACAACAGTAACATTAAAAAAAAGTAATCCACCCCCCCTCGAGTTCTGACTCACAGCGACCCTATCAGTTACGGGGGTTTCTGAGACTGCACTTTCTACAGGGGCAGAAAACCCCATCTTTTCCCTGTGAAGGGACAGGGGGTTTTGAAGTGACAATAACTTAGTGGTTAGCAGCCCAGTGCGTATTCCACAGTGCCTCCAGGGCTCCACATACTAAGCACTCGCTAAATATATATGTATGTGTATATGTATATGTGAAAGTGTTGAATGTTGAAAATTACAAGCGTGACTCTAGTGGACTAACCTTCAGTTCGCTAACATTTTCAGGAGCCCTGATGGTGCAGTAGTTAGGTGCTAGGTTGCCAGCCAAATGATTGGCAGTTCAGATCCACCCACCTCCTCTGTAGGAAAAAGACCGGCCCTAGTCCTGGAGAGGTTACCTACAGCCAAGGAAGCCATTTAGAGGGTAGTTGTACTCTTGTCTATAGATTTAAATCGACTCAAGGGCTCCTAAAAGCAATAACACCATCTAAAATTTTATTTACGGAGCACATTTTTTGCCTGCTAAGCGTTGATGTTGGTTTTCGCTAGCACTGAACTCTCTAACAAGCTGGAATACCTTCTCCAGGCTGGTCCTAAATGGAAAGTTGCTTTGATGAGCAGGCTCGAACTTAAATACTGTGGCCTTTGTTGCTAATGGTGATCAGGTGAGTGTTGTCAAGTTGCTCGAGAAAAACAAAAACTCTCCTTATTAAAGTTCTGGGGTAAAGTGACAAAGCACTAATTTTTTTATGGCAGTGGGCAGGCAGTATATTGATACAGTATGAAGAATGCCCTGAGAGTGCCCACTCCTTGGTTTATGATCATTAAAATTCAAAATTAACAATGTAAGCAAAGTCTCATGGGCCCAGGAAGGCCAGATCAGTTATTGTAATCAAGCTCATGAGGAAATAGGAGAATTATGCTTACTGAGAAGTGTATGTATTTGTCCTGCAAGCATTTAGGACATGATAGTGGAAGTTCTACTTTCAGCGGCATGATTTTCGTAAATTTTGAATGACTCCAAATGACACTTACGGCTAATGTTACAGAAAGGCCCATCTTCATAGATTGTTACTTAGAAACAAGTATGTCAGATGTAAATATTAGAAAGTATTTTTGCTTTGTCATTATTTACTGTGCTCTGACTTTATCGAACAAAATAATTGAAAGAAGCCATTGTACCACTTTGTAAACATCTCTGGGGAGAACATTTGCATTTTACTTCACTTGGTGTTGTTCTGTTCCTCAGAAAGAACAACTTCCGGCCATGGTTAGTAGGCTCACCTTTCTGCTTCAGGAGGCTGGAAAGCCAAATAATGTCATGGGGTCCGATTGCATGTGCATTCCACACACAGTATTGATAGAAGTAAAGGCGGGCAATTACATTTCAGAATACTCAGCAAAGTGCTGTGTTTTGGACTATTAGCAAAGCTAATTTTATTTGTTCTTAGGGCCAATGCAATTCCCAAGCAAAAGTTTGATGTCATCTAATGAGCCTGCTTTAAATTGTGGAGCATAATGAGGCCCCGGGACAGATTAGCAGGAGCTCTGGTTTATGGTGGATGGTAGCGCTGCTAGGGCCCGAGTTGCTTTATGACGGCCCTTCAAGCAAACTGTAGTTCTGTGTGTGGTTGTCAATCGCTGTATGTTTATTTGTAGGCAGGTACATATTACAATTGTCTGTTTTTCTTTTTAGGGCTCATGTAATCAGAGAAGTTCCTTTGTTGTGTGTATCTTTCACAACAGGAATTGAAAATGAATCAGGTGAGTTTAAAAATAAGAATTTATGCAAATTCATTACCTAGATGTTAGACCAGTTCTTGATTTTTTTTTTCTAAAAAGACAACAAAACACCTTTTCATCTCGCCCAGAACTTCACTTTTGTTTCTTACTGCCATGAACTAGGGAGCTCCGTGCTTGGCTGTTAACTGAAAAGTTAGCCTTTCAAAGCCACCCACCCTCTGCTCTTCCGGAGTGCCAGCTGGCTGTCTGCTTCCATAGATCGTGGGCCTCGGAACCCTGGGAGCAGTACTAGGCTGTCCTGGAGGACCTGAGGGCCCCTGCCACCACCACCGCTGCCACCACCGTCCTGACCGTCTTGTTGAAGGTGGTGTGAGTTCTGGATCTGCTTAAACTCTGCAGCCCCGGAGGGCTCTGGTTTTTAGGGATCTTGCTTCGATTTTTTCTTTTCTACCTCTCCTTTGCCACATCTCAGCATGGGTTTTGGTTTTGAAGCTCCCTAGCTTTTGTTTCTAACCCCGTTATTTTATAATTCCCCATTTGCTGGAAAGAGAAGCTTAAAATTTTTTTTTTTTTACACTGAAACTGATCAAACGAGAAATTTCAAGTGTTGTGTGTCAGAAAAGCACATCCTCATCATACGCAACAAGCCATCTTTCCACGCGAGGTGTGTTCCTCAGGAGGCTGATCTTTCCACGCGAGGTGTGTTCCTCAGGAGGCTGTGGACGACTGGAGAGGAGGCTGTCGTGCTCCGGGTATTCTGAGGCCTCCGGGGTTCTCATAAGCAGAGCTAGTTTTGTGTGTGTAATTTATTCTGGAGTGTGATTCTTCTTTTATTGGCCCGGCTATCATTTCACATGCAGTGATGAAAATTTACAGGTGTCACAAAACTGCCTTTATTGAAACCTTCATAAGCACATTAAAAAAAACTACAATGGGTGAAATTTAAGAACGTGAATGAAGCACCTTTTTGTGTTTAGTTGAAAAGCATCGGGCTTGAAAACATGTGGGTTCCTTCATCAGCTGGTTCTTGGGGAGCCTTTTTATCGTTGACTGGTGCCTTCTGAAGGGCTTTGACAGGTGGATCCCAAGTCTGATTTAATCCAGAGGCCAGGTTTAATAAATCCGATTCCATGTTGCACTGAGCGATTTGAACTTTCTGGAAATGGATTCTTTTGATGGCTTTTCATTACTTTCTTTATCAGAAAGACGCATGTTCTGCGGAGAGCTGCACATTATAGAGTGAATCTGGTGAACACATGGACCACATGGTTTCTATTATTTTAAAACTTGCACATTTACTGACATGCTTTTGAGGGAAAATTATTTTTGAAATGGCGAGATGGGGGAGGGCCATTCACAGTCCTCATCCATCAAAGTTATATGCATCTACATGTCATAGATTTTGTTTCTTTCCCGATGGTGAGAAGGATTCTTCTTGTGAAGCCAGTCATTCAGAGAAGGCTGCCCTTCTCTGCCCAGGGACCCTTAGCGGAGTCTCGGCTTCCGGTTGAGAATGATCGGGAAAGGCCTCTCCGAGGAACCTGCATAAAAAGTCATGCTGCTCCATTGCATCGCAGGTTCACATTCATTCCAGGTGGCTCCAGCTTTAGCATCAGGCCTCCGATGCCCTCCGTCTTCGGTGTACCTAGAAATAGATCTAAGGTATTTGGAAATCAGGTGTGATTTCTAAAGTGAAAACCCGCTTGACACCTCACCCTGTCCCCTGCTTCTGACACGTGGGTAAAAAAGCCCAAGTGCCACTCAGGGGCCATTTCTCTTCTCTGCTGTGGTTACCATTTCTTTGGGCCTTTGACATGTTTTCCTATCAGATCTGCAGAGAGCTGCCTTTGATACCAGATGCCAGACATCGCTGGAGAAGGGTCCTCCTCTGTGCCTAATGGCTCGCACATTTCGGCGTTGGGTGTGATTGAAATGGTCTGGTAGTCAGGCAGCTTTTATTTGAATGATAAAAAGTGTCCACTTCTTATAGGAGTAACATTTTCAGCCTCTGTCGTTATGTTTTTCATCAGTGGAAGTGTTTGCTACTCAGGTCGGATGATTAGATCCAGGAGTAAAAGCAAGTGTTTCCCAACAATTGCCCTAATAATTATAAAACCCCCAAACAATTGTTTCAGTACATCTTATGTTTTCTCCTCTTTCCCATATTTATGCTTTTCATTTTGAGCCAATGAAAATAAGCAATAAATATTTGGAAAAACTTCAAAATGACTCCATGTGAAAACTCAGATGTTAAAAAAAAGTTCGCAGTTACACCAGGTTGACAATAGCTAACATGTGCATGGGTTTGATGGATTTTAGCTGTCAGATCTAAGGTCTTTTGATGGGCTCGGTCTCTTAGACAATAGCCCACAATCACCACACATTAGCTGTCTGCCAATGAGTCCTGTAGAAGAAATAATTTTCTGCATCGGCTGTTATAGGCGAACTCTGAACTCAGCCATCTCAGTCCTTAATCCTTCCTGGGGTGGGGGCCTGCCTGGCTTTCCCTCCCCTTGCAGCTCAGGGTCTCAGCAGCTCCCCAAACCACGTGTTCTTTGCCTTTTCCTTCTGTTTCGTGATTCACACGGTCTTTAGTCCTTTCTTGCTGGCTTTTATCTTCCCAGTTTAGAACCCAGTTTGCTTTGCACCTGAATCTTTGTTACAACTGAGCCCTGCCTGGTGGGCAGGCAAGAGGAGCAGTCACTGAATCCCCTCCCCTTTTCCTCCATTTTCTTTTCTCTGCGTCTTTACGTTATGGATGTCCCAGACGGCTTCATTCCCACTGCACGCCTGTCTTAAGAGTTAACTTGGGAGCTTTCCACTCTTCTTCCCCAGCTTCTCTAGACTTACGCAGGGAAATTCAGCTGTTTCTACGTGGTCAAACCTTTCCATATAGAGTTTGAGATGCCTTATTTTATTACAGGATATACCAGGCCAGCTAATTTTCATAATGCAGGCCTCTGTGCACAGTAGCTTAAAGGAGATAGAACAGGATCTAGTACCACTTCCTCTCTGTTGAGCGCTCTGCACGGGGAAGGCCCTGGGTGGGCAGTGCGTGAGTCCGTACCCACCGCTGCCATCGGATCAGCGCTGGCTGCTGTGACCCATGTGTCCTTGAGTAGAATGGTGCCCTAGAAGGTTTCAGGACTGTGACCTTTCAGGAACAAACTGCCAGGACTTTTTTCCGAGGTGCCTCTGTGTGGACTTAACTCACTGGGGACTACACAGGGACCCCCTTTTATGTACATTTTCTCATAGATTTATTGTTTATAACTCTGTGAGGTGAAAATGACTAGGTTGTGCCCCATCAGCAAAGGAAGATCCCGAAGGCTCCACCCCCCACGGGCGTGACTCCACTCAGGTCCCCAAGGTCAAAGCTACTTTGAGAGAGCAGCTCCTCCCCAGGCACACCTGAGGTGCCTTCTGCCCTGAGGGACCCATCCCCGGCACTCTCTGACAGTGCTCTGCTTCCGTTCATAGGCCTCCGGTACCTGACAGGGGTTCCGGGCTGTGCATGAGGTTTCAGCGGCTGCTTCCTGGGAAGTGGGCAGCAAGGTCCTGTTTCGTCGTTGTCTGGAAGCTCCGCTGCAACCTGTTCACTTTGGGTGACACTGTGCGTTGGGCTGCTAACCACACTGTCAGTCGTCTAAAACCACCAGCACTCCAAGGGAGAAAGGCGGGGATTTCTGCTCCCATAAAGAGTTAGAGTCCTGGAACTCCCAGGGCCAGTTAGTTCTACTCTGTCCTGTGGGGTTCCTGTGAATCAGCATTGACACAGTGGCGGTGAGTTTGCTTTTTGGGGTTTTGCCTGGCATTTGAAATACTAGCAATGTAGTTTTCACCACAGAAGCCACCACAGTACGATAAAGGAGCATATGAGCAAGAACCAATGCTACTGATGGAAGAAGTTCAAGGTGCACTGAAAGCATTAGTCAAAAACAAGACTTCAAGAATATTGATGTTTCATCAAGAATTGATGATGTTTCAACAAGCCGAGGAAGCACTGGAAGCACTTATACGCCTATGCCAGGAAATTTGGAAGACAGATACTTGGCAAGCTGACTGGAAGAGGTTCATATTTGTACCCATTCCAAAGATAGGCAACCCAACAGAATGCTCAAGTAATAGAACAGTATCATTGGTATCACACGCAAGTAAAATGCTGCCGAAGATCATCCAATAACAGGTGCAGCAGTACATTGATAGGGAGTGTCTAGAGGTCAGGTGGGAGTCACAAGAGGACATGGATCTCGGCTGAAACCAGAAAATATCTGAAAGATGTTTACTTGTGTTTTGTTGGCTATGCCTGAGTCGTAGACTGTGTGGATTTTAACCAACTCTGGACAGCCTTGAGAGGAATGGGAGTTCCAGAACACTTCATTGTGCTCATGTGCAACTTGTACATGAATCAGGAGACCTCTGTACGAACAGAGTAAGGGAATATCACATGGCTTAAAACCAGGACAGGCGTGAGTCAAGGTGTACACTTCCACCAGACACTTCCACCATACTTGTTCAATCTATATGCCGAGCAAAAGATCGCTGAAACTGGAGGATGTGAAGGAGCATGTGACATCAAGATCAAAGGAAGACTTATTAACCACCCGTGATACGATACAACCTGGGTTTCTGAGAGTGAGGAAGACTCGAAACACTTGCTGATGAAGATCAAGAATTGCAGCCTTCAGTGTGGATTACAACTCAGTGTAAACAAGCAGCAGTCAAGAGATCGAAAGATGCATTGCATTGGCTATCTCTGCTGCATAAGACCTCTTTAGAGTATTGAAAAGTAAGGATGTTAGTCTGAGGACTAAGATGTGCTTGATTCAGACCTTTTCATTCTTTCATATGCATATGAAAGTTTGACATTGAATAAGGAAGACAGAAGTATGGATGGGGTTAGATTGTGGAGCCGGTGAAAAATATTGAAAGTACCATGAACTGCTAAGAGGACAAATAAGTTTGTTTTCAAAGAAGTAGGGCCAGAGTGCTCCTTAGACGCAAGGATGGTAAGACTTTGT